TTTTTTTTTTTTTTTTTTTTTTTTTTTTTTTTTTTTTTTTTTTTTTTTTTTTTTTTTTTGGGTGTAGTTGGAAGTGTTTGGATGTCCAACCTCATCCACGTATAAGCTATACCTAATAAGAGAGAACCAAAGTCGCAACCTTTAGAGGGGACCCTAGCGGTTAGTGGCTAGTAGTGCCCTCCAATCTTGCAAGCTGCCCTAAAGATTCACGTGGATGGGACATTGCTAGGTCACTCCTCGATGGTCCAGTTGGATCAACAGTTTTTGCCAGCTCACCTGTGGGGCCCATCTTGTCTCAGATAGGATTACATTTTCTTCTGCCCTTTTGGGAAATTATCGTGCCAGTTCATTCACAATGCTCCACCATATTAGTAATATATATTTTAAATTGTACTTATATTTTTTTTTCATTATATAATTAAAAAAAAATTAAAATTGCCATCCACATTAATTTATTTAATTCCGGTATATGAATTTTAAAAATATTTAACGAGCAATCTTGAGAATATAATAATTAAAAATTATTTAGTTTAAAAAAATTTAAATTATTTTTTAAAATTATATAAAATTACAAAATGATAGAAGTTTTAGACACTATGTATTCAGGCCCACGTGAATTGGGCTGAACAGGCTTACTGGATCAAATGAACCGGCCCAGAAAAAGCCCAAACATCAAATGCAAAGTGTAATATTTTAAAATTTAAAATAAAAAAATAAAAAAAATAATGTATTTATAATTTTACTAAAAAATAATAATAATAATAAAGAGAGTAATTACTAATTTCCACCGCTAGGAGTCAATTATATTTCAACCGGCGCGGATCCAGTGGTCCTATCACTATAAATTTTGTTTTTTTTAAAAACAGTCGTACGTGGCGTTCTCTCATTGGTTCAATTTGTATCTTTTCTGCCTTCTTCTTCAACCGCTTTATTGCTGCTCGGCTCTTTTCCGCCTTCTTCTGACGCACATTCCCTCTTTTTTGATTCTCAAATCTCTGAGATTCTTCTGCACAATACGGAAATGGCGAAATTCATTGCTTTCTGTTGTTGTCTTCTTTTGATGAACGTCGCTTTCTCTTTGGAACAAACGGAGGAAGTTCCGCCATCTCCACCCCCTGAATCTGCTGCAAGTTTTCCTCCACTGCTCTCTCCTACTCCATTTCCTCACGCTCCAGCGAGTTCTCCGGTGGAATCGCCTTTGCACTCTCCTCCTGCGCCTCCGCCCTCAGATCTCGTTCCCAGTCCATCTCCTGCGCGTGGTCCTTCTCCGTCACTGAATCCTGCCCCATCGCCAGCGGCTGATGGCGATTTTCGTAACAGCATTTCTAATAACGGTGGAGAAGAGTCGGAATCCTCCAAAGGCGGGATGAATGGAGGAAAGAAGGCTGGAATTGCAGTTGGAGTGATTGCCGCTGCGTGTTTCGTTGGAATAGGAGGAATCGTGTACAAGAAGCGCCAAGACAACATTCGTCGATCTCAGTACGGGAACGCTGCTAGATCTTCGTTCTTATGAGTTACGAGGAACTGAATGTCGATGGTATGGAATTCTCTGTATTAGAAGAGGATAGCATTTCTATTGAGTAAATAGCATTATCATTTTATTTTGATTAACTCATTGTCCAGGAGGTTGCTAGTAGCACTTCGCTTTATTGACTAATTCTGAATAGCATTGTGTGATTATTCTTTTCATACGATAGTTCTTAGATTCTTGATCATTCCAATTGCTCAGAAAATTCGGGACTTCTATGCTTGTAGTATTTACTTAAATTATCAGTGAGGTTTCAGTTTTCTCGATCTACAATCGATTCTAGGAGAACCTGTGATTTTATTCTGCAAACTTCATACTAACATAATTTCTAGGGTTCATTGTTTACACTTCCTAGCATACATTTATTTTAGCTTAAGAAACATAAATTATTCCTGTTGAAAGCGAAATCAATCTCACCACAATGATTAAATCTCAACTTTTTGAAACTAGAGAGACAATCTTGGTATGAACATGGCAAGGTTTTAATCAAGAAAAGTATCACGAATTTATGTGGGATGCATTTATGAGAATGCTATAGACCAGATTCACTCTCTGGTTGTCTCGTGTTCCTATTATATCCACAAACTTGATACAAGTTGACAACTTCCAGAACCACGGCATAAAGTCTATACAAGGGAACTATGGTTCAGAAAACTCACCACCTACAGTCCTTTTACATGTAATGAAAACCATACACAATAGATCAAACAATAACACTTTGGCCAACACTGTTTCTTCACACAACTGTGTGATGCTGGCGGGGTATAGCATTGTGCAGTGAACTTATAGCTATAGACGATCGTACCGGTTGTGCGATTCTCTGAGAGTCGAGGTGCTGTTGTGTTGTTGGAAGCCACCATCGTCTTCTCCATCTTAAAAACTCAACAATAATTGAACTTCCACTCATGATGATGCCAAGCCCAGTTAATGTAGCCAGTATGATAGCCAAAACTGCTTGGACACCAACCTGTAAGCCATTCTAAAACTCATCTCCAAGATCTAACCGAAAAGAAGTATTAAATCAAAGCAGTCTAACATAGAGGGGATTGATGAAAACATTATTAGAATTAGTTTTCAGATTGGTTCATACAATAAGTGATGCAGAAGATACCCAATCCCTGCTAACAAAGCTATGCAGTTCAAATTAATAGGAAAGTTGATAGCTTGAGCTCTCACCACGGAGTAAAATATGTGCGAGAAGAGAACCACCATAGCAAATTGAACTGTTGCATATACCCATACAAATCTTCTATTCACTACAAACAAAAAAGTTGTTTAGGATTGATTACTAAATAACAGTCTAGAATAGCAACAGATCGTCAAAGAAGAATCCCAAAGTGCACCCATCAGACAGTTCACATAACAATTCAGCCGAGTCAAAAGAGTGAGTGTTTCGGGCTCGTTGAATATCAATGTAATATGATATGTTGAGGATTATTGGGAGTGAGTCCCACATTGGTTAATTTAGTGAAAGATCATGGGTTTATAAGTAAGGAATACTATCTCCATTGGTATGAGGCCTTTTAGGGAAGCCCAAAACAAAGCCACGAGAGCTTATGCTCAAAGTGAACAATATCATACCATTGTGGAGGCTCGTGATTCCTAACATGGTATCAGAGCCATGCCCTAAACTTAATCATGTCAATAGAATCCTCAAATATCGAACAAAGAATTGTGAGCCTCGAAGGTGTAGTCAAATGTGACTAAAGTGTCGAACAAAGGGTGTACTTTGTTCGAGAGCTCCAGAGAAAAGTGTCGGACCTTGATGAAGGGGAAGCGGGCTCCAGAGAAAGGAGTCGGACCTTGATTAAGGGGAGGCTATTTGAGAGCTCTATAAGCCTTAGGGGAGGCTTATAGTGTACTTTGTTCGAGGGGAGGATTGTTGAGGATTATTGGGAGTGAGTCCCACGTTGGTTAATTTAGTGGAAGATCATGAGTTTATAAGTGAGGAAGCCTTAGGGGAGGCTTATAGTGTACTTTGTTCGAGGGGAGGATTGTTGAGGATTATTGGGAGTGAGTCCCATGTTGGTTAATTTAGTGGAAGATCATGAGTTTATAAGTGAGGAATACTATCTCCATTGGTATGAGGCCTTTTGGGGAAGCCCAAAGCAAAGCCATGAGAGCTTATGCTCAAAGTGAACAATATCATACCATTGTGGAGAGTCGTGATTCCTAACATAATAGACTAGCGAATACGAATTGAAAAGATGATGCTTCAGCAACATAGAATAGGGCTAGAGCTAACCTACCCATAGTTGAGGAGGTCATTGATGAGAGTAGACCCAAAACGCAAGAAAATGGAAGTGAAATGGCAATTGCACTGGTGCCCATTTTTGCAACCTGCATCTGAACATATTACAGAAGACGTGACAAATGATGGATTTAAGCTCAAAACTTCATAGTTGCTACTCTTACCAATAGTTGCTCAAGAAAGCAGAAGTAGGCTAGTATGCTAACAATCACAAGCACGGGAAACTCCTGCCACACCCTGACTTATTCAAAGACAGTAGATATTAGTCTTGACTATGGTATGTAAGACAGAGAGATGACGAGTCGACGTTTAGCTCTAGCCCTATAAGGACAGATAGTTGCTGACCTATAGCCATTAACATTGTCCTGCTGAGTTCTAGCTGCCCCAAACACTTGAGTTCGAATGCTCTGGACCTTTAACAAAGTTACAGGAAGGTTTTGAACCTCTTTCTTGCAAACGTCGCACGTTTTGTTTCCCTTGATACTAAACCATTTAACTGCACATTCTTGGTGAGCCAGAGCAAGTGCACCTTTGCAGCTACATTCCATCTTTAGAGTCTCACCTCCTTCACATAATTCAACCATGCAGATTCTGCAAACAGCGTCTTCTTCAGAGATGTCTTCACCATTGGAATCTTTATTTTCTGGACCATGAGATTGAAATGAGATTGACATCTTCTACAATATTGGATTTAAGAGAGTTGTTTACCCTTAAATGTTGATAGAACAAGAGACCGTACATGCTTTTTTTCTTCCCAGCAAAATCATTGGATACTATAGGATCAATAAGTATATAATTACCACCTCTTTCCTGTAACTAAATGGAAACAAATCAGAGTGTGAAGTCTGGCCAGTTTACCTATTTCTACTGTTGTAGAAGTATTCAATGTCAAATCTCCTTCCTTCGGTCGTGGGGTCGAAGGAATTACACGAAAAAATGAATCAGTCCTCCTTATGCTTCTTCCCTTGTTATTGGTTGGAAGAGAAAGGGAGCGAGATATTCGTTTCTGAGATCCTCTTCTCTGCACAATAAAATTGCAGTCTTTGTGTGTTAATGCTATGATAATTCAGCTTCAGTGCTTAATAAAACTCAAATTAGCATGTGTGCTTACTACTGATTCCTGTTCACTCCCTTTGTTGTTTTCATCATGTGTAGATTCTGGATTATAATGAGCTATAGGAGTTACAGGTAGTGATGAAGCTTGCTGCTTCGACCTAGGCGTAAAGATCGTGGCCATGGACAAGGGCTTTGAAGCTTTAGCCTTCTCTTGTGTCCCTGCAGACGAAGAAGCCTCATCGACGTCCGAGGAACTTCGGTATATGAAGCTAAGTTTAGGAAAGAGAGTCTTGATGGATGATTTGCCTCTGGATGAAGAAGATGGCCCTGAAGATATAGCATCTGAAGAAGAGGTTGGTGTTAACATAAAATTCACTTTCCTAGGTGTAGGACTTGATGTTTGAGCTGTTTTTATTGCAACAAAATCCGGTGTCCGAGAAGGTATCTCAAGAACAAGATTCCTTCTCTTCCAATGGTTAACATGGGAGGTTCCCTCCGTTGTTGTCCCAGCCAAGTCCCCGCCCTGAAAAACACCAGACTAGTTACTTAGAACATAGAAGAAGATTGAAAACACAGAGAAACAGAGAAGAAAGTACCTTATGGAGACGATCTGGAACTGTCCCATCACTCATCTTATGTCCTGTGTTGGTAGAGAGTAAAACCAGAACAAGTTTGTGTTCCCTGGAAATCAAGCAAAGACAGACATGGAGATGGAGGAGGAGGAGGAGACCCTTTGCCTTAGCCTTTGGAGGAGGGAGATTCGCAGAGTAAATAGGGGAAAGGGAATCGTGAGGATGGTGGGAATTGTGGCCTACTACTGCCACTTCCGCCCACCTCCCTTGACACTCCAGTAGACGCAGACTCAACTAAACCCACCTTTAGTATCCGATTCTCTGAAAGTTAGTAGCTTCAATCTTCCGTACTATTGTTGGATAATGAAAGTCTCAAATCGGCTAATTTAGGAAATGATCATGGGTTTATAATCAAAGAATACTCTCTCCATTGGTATGATGCATTTTGGGGAAGTCCAAAGCAAAGCCATGAGAGCTTATGCTCAAAGTGGACAATATCATACCATTTTAGGGAATCCTGTTCGTCTAACTTAGTATCAAAGTCATGCCCTAAACTTAGTCGTGCCAATGATTGGTAAATCTTCAAATATCGAACAAAGGGCTCCAAAAGAAAAGGAGTCAAGCCTCCTCGAAGGCAGTAAAAAATGACTAAGATTCTAAAGGAGTCGAGTTTCGATTAAGGGCAGGTGTTGGACGATGAAAGTTACACATCGACTACTTTTGAGGAAGCTCAAAGCAAAGCAACGAAAGTGTATGCTCAAAGTGGATAATATCATATCATTTTAGAAAATCGTGCTCGTCCAACTAGGATAAGTTGTTTCCTACCTTACCACTACCTAACCAACCTGTGTTTTGAATTTGTGATAGTGACGAGTGAATTAGTTCATTAATTCTTCTTAGTGGTCTGAAATGAATAAAGTATGAAAAAGGGCAGGAAAACAGAACGAATCTCTTTGAGTTGAGACCTCATTATTATTATTATTATTATTATTATTAAGATCAACTGTTTATATTTGCAGCCATTCTTCAAGTGTTATGATTGTGCTGACCTTGTCCAATCAAAGGCACTTCCCATGCTGTCCCCCCTATTGTTATATATATATATATTCTTTTACCGTCGTGAATGTTTGAAAATTAAGTAGAAATACTTCAGAATTTCAAAAGAAAATAGAGACAAGTGGATCACTGCCACGTCATTTTATGTCTTAATTTTCGTTTAAAAATACATTTTTCCATTTTTAAAAAATTGCATTTTCCTGGGGGAAAATGTATTTTCCATTGAGGTCTCAACCATTTTATTTATTTTTATTATTATTATTTTTTAAATTACTTTTGTTTGCTAGTCGCCTTACACGGAGTTTCAAAAAAAAAAAAATCTAAAAATTACTGTTACTTTTCAAATTTTAGTGAATTATTTTTTAATTTTTTTTAGTTAATTAAAATAGAATGAAAAAAATGCTAAAGAAATTGGGGGTGGGGGAAACCATTATCTTATTATTATTATTATTTTTTTATATTCATTCTTCATACTTTTTAGACCTCTTCTAATGCCCCTATTCACAAACGTTCTGCAATGCTTCAATCGTTAGGGTCCGTTCGGTCCAAACTTTAGCTTAACCTGCGCTTGAATCGAACCCATTTGTTGCTTAGACTCAACAACCCTAAAATACTTAAGGAGAAATTTAACAAGAATAGAGCCATTTGAATTCCAGAAATAACAGTAAATGAATATGGATTTATAACAACTCAAGTCCACTGCTAGTAGATATTGTCCTCTTTAAGCTTTTCCTTTCGGGTTTCCTCTCAAGGTTTTTAAAACGCGTTTGCTAGAGAGAAGTTTTCACACCTTTATAGTGTTTCGTTCTCCTCCCCAGCCGACGTAGGATCTCACAGTTGAGTAACAAGAACGCCCATATAAGTGTTTAGAGGAAAAGTAGAAATCTAACAAGAAATCTAACAAGAACAGAGCCATTTGAATTCCAGAAACAACCGTAAATGGAACAACTTTCACATAAAATGTTCGCCTACAAGAAAGCATAGACACAAAAATTACAACGGGGAGGGGTCGGGAGGCGAGTTTTACCTGTTGTTACGCAATGAATCAGAAGGCAGCAATAGGGTGATAAGGTAATCCATATAGTGAGTAAAAGCCAGATCCAGCAAAGACTGAAACTATGCAAACAATTATTAGGTGCTAAAGTTATGAGAAGAAGAACACTAAGAACAAAAGATGATCCCTTTGTAGAAGAAGAAACCAAAAACTATGGTCTGTGAAATCAGAGTTACATAAATGATGATTCTTCAACACCCCATAACTGCACAATTGTACACAAAAACCCCGACATGTTCCTTCACTCCTACTATCTTCCAATCCAAACTCCCATTATTATCGACTCCCGACCTCGGACACCAAGAGCTAAGCACAATCGATTCGCCTTCCACCCCTCTTTGCCCGCCTACAACCACAAGCTTTTCCCCACAAGCCTTGAAACCAAGTCCCCATCCATTTGAAGAATCCGCCCTCACCGGAAGTCTCCCCAACACCTTCCACGCGTTCCCCGCTTCCTCATACTTCATAACCATGTTCGTTATATGCTCCACTCCATATAATTCATTCTCCACCACTGCAACTAGAGGGGGCGCCTGAGCTCCTTGATTCACGTATGGATACATCCCTTCGATTTTCCTCCATTTCCTCTTCTTTAAATCATACTCCTCCCCACATGTTAGTGACACTGTAGGACTTGACATCCCACCAATCACGTAGAATTTCCCGTTCATAAAGAACCCGGAACACGATCGACGTGGGACGTGCATGTTAGGCAACGTTTCCCATCGACCCTTTGAAGAGTTGTATAATTCTGCTGAGTTTAGAACATTTCCCTTTATATCACTCCCACCTGCTACTATGGCTATCGAACCGAGACTGCCAGACCCAAACAAACAACGAGGCTGGTTCATTCCTCGACATTTCACCCAACAATGAGGAAAAAATACATATTTCCATATAGCAAAATCATAAAACTCTCGACCGAAAACCAATAACTCGCTGCCTACTGCTAAGGACTCCTTATCAGCATGATTGAAACACTCATCACAAGGCATCTTAGGCAATGCCATCCATTTATTTCTATCGGGATCGAACGCTTCCCACTCCTTTAGATCACAAACCAGATACACCCAATACTCCACAATCCCTATCTTCTTCCTCAACTCAGACAATGTACCACTTCTAATCTGCTTGTTAAACCTCGAGTTAACACACGATAGCGAAGCATAATCTGACCTTCGAACGTAAGCAAAGCAATTCATTGCTGCATCATCATCGAGCATTGGTAGAAGGGAATCATTCGATATGCGTCGACGCTGCAAACCATCAAGCATCAAATCTCCTCTTGAATGATAACTTACATCTTCATCCTCCATCTTCTCCGGTGAGGTATTACAACAAACTTTGTTTGTCAAAGTCAGCAAAAAATGATATTATAATTTAAAACAAAAGAATCAATAAGCTGTACCAATAAAGACCACCAATCTTAAAATGTAATATCCAGGCGGCCTCTGATTATCCTCCCAATACCCAGGGAACAAATTCGGACCCTTGAAAGCAGCAATCAATGAACACTTATTTCCTTCTCCCATTAATTTATTGAAACAGAGTGTGAAAATGTGAAGAATCTGTACTCGGAATATTCCATTTACACGAACTTATACCAATTAGAGAAGCCCTCGCAGTCCTCTGCAAACAGATTAAGAATACGAATACACCTAACCTTCAGAATCCCAGTAGTAATCGAATCACTCACTAATAACCTCAACGAACGATCCGAATTTCTTTCCAGCCGTCAAAATAGAACGATCTGGATTTTGGTTTTTTAAAGAGAGATTAGCGAGGAATCTCAAACGCAGGATGAAAACAATCGAATAAAGGGAAAAACAGAGAAACAATCCATGAAAGATCCTCGAGTTTAAAAACCATACGCATGAGAAGCCTAATGCATGGAAATGGATCGAAATCAAAACAAAGAAGGATACAGGGAAATTAATTAAGCAGATTAAATAATCAAGAGAATTGAGAAAAGAATCCCAGACCTGAAATTGGGGAAAGTAAGAGGGATCTATTGGTTGGGTTAAGATGGATCTATTAGTTGCGACTCCAATGAGCGGCGGCGGCGGCTGAAATAGTTACCGACGAACATGGTCGGAGGGAAAGTTGGGGAAGACGAAGAAGAAAAGTGGAGTCAGCCTTTGCGAAAACAGCGGCGGCACCAGATCACATTGGGGGGGCGGCCCCGTGCTGTGTCCATGTGACGTAATTTTTACAATATATATATATTATATAAATTATAAATAAAGGGAAAAAATAAAAAATAAAAAGTAAAAATGGTAAATTATCGCAGATAGCACCGTACTTCTGGGTATTTGTACTTTCGCCCCGCCTTTCTCCATTTTGCACTTTGAGGCTTTTTTTCTCCTCTTTCCATTTCCATTTTTTGTTTTTACTTTTAATTAATATATTCTCGAATTTAAAAAAATAATAATTAAGATATTTCATAAATTATTGACTTATTAGATGGTAGGATTTGAAAAGTGTGGTCAGTATATCTAATATTAATTAAGAAATAAAATCTAAAAAAATAACTACTAGAAAAGAAAATGTTCGGACTTTGTAAATGGGCTGGGCCTCTTCTTAATGAAAGTGGGCTCAAAATTGGGCCTAATTGTTTATTGGGAAATGTGTGGTTGCTCAATAGTATATTCTCTCCTCTGTGGCTGAACAGCCGATGCTTATGTTTTTTTATTACAATATATTCTTCATTCACCGTGAGACAGCTAGGTACCCGATAATCCGGACCAACCCAACCCAAATAATTATAGGATTAGGTTGGATTGAATTAGTATTTCAAGTTAGGTTGGGTTAATTTTTCTGAATCTGAATTGATTCAGTTCGGTTTTGGGTTCATGGGACAAAAACTTCGAGTTAACTTGAACCAAACAAAATTCTTCATTCTCAGCAGGGCAGCTAGGTACCCGATAATCCAGACCAACCCAACCCGAATTATAGGGATTGAGTTAGATTGAATTAATATTTCGAATTAGGTAGAGTTAATTTTTTTGAACCTGAATTGATTCAGTTAGGTTTTGGATTCCCACAAAGATTTAAAATAAAAGAATTGCACCCTATAATTTCTCAGGCCATCAAATTTGAAGATGCTTATGTCAGGCCATCAAATTTGAAGATGCTTATGTCAGACAGCTAGGCGTTCATTCAATCGGATAACCCGAACCAACCAAACCAGAATTATAGAGGTTGAGTTTATTTTTCTGAACCTGAATTGAATCGATTCGATTTTGGGTTCATGGGACAAAAACTTGGGTCGACTCGAACCAAACAAAAAGATTTAAAATAAACACAAGAGTTGAAGTCTTGAAAACCCCATAATTTCTCGGGCCATAAAAGAATTGCACTCCATGTTTAACCTCCAACACAGACCAACACAAAAGATGAAAACTGCATAAAATGGTCAAAAAAGAACTATATATAAAGGGAGATGGAGGGAGGGAGGGAGGAGCTAACCCATCTACCTTTCAAATTTACACACACGAATCTCCAGACTACACAGACAAATTAGGAGGCATGTCAAAATCATTCTGTTTACTCCCACTTTCTTCTCGTTGCAGGTTTGACTGCTCTTCCCCCACAAAACTACTGCGCTTGCACCAGCATAGATATTGTGGGATTGGGCCTTCGTCTCCAATCACCCAGCTGTGTTTTGCTATGTCGTCCAGTGTCATCCTCTGGCTCGGATCTGTAACAGGAAAGGCTTGTATATAATCAAAGGTGATCGGGTTTTTCGAACACGAATTTCACTAATGATTTAAGAAAGCATACAACATTCTGGGACTCAAAATCTTGGAGGAGATGAGTCACAGTACCTTTACATAGAATCCCTTCCAATAAATCTCTCAACTGGGGATTCATATCATCAGGCAGCAACAATGGATTATTGACAATCTGAGGAAGAAATATGTTCATTTTAACATCAGTGTACTTAATGAAAGCCATAATAGCACAAATAATAAACACTTTCCCCACTTTATCATAGGTATCTTGCAGTGTCTCTCCAAGAAACGGGTAACGACCGAGTATCATACAGTACAAGGTCACCCCAACTGCCCATGTGTCGGCGGTTTTGCCATGATAAGTTATACCTAATAACAGAGGAAGTTAACAGTTGAGATACATCAACGTAAATCCGACCTTACTAAGCATCAAAACAGATATAATTTAGACCTAAACAGCATTCTGGTGCAGTAAAAACAGGAGTCCCAGGAGAACGGCGAAGCTCATCATTTTCATCCTGCAAATGAAAAGTCAATATCACCCTCACAGGAATCTCAAAAGGTACCACAACAATATAATGAAAAATGCAGTTGTGAAGAGATGAAGGAAATCCTTTGATTACCTCAAAAACCTGGCTAACGCTGAAGTCCCCTATCTTCACTGTACCATCGCGAGTTATCAACAAATTATCGGGTTTAATATCACCATGCACTATATTCTGCTTCCAAAATTGGAAAACATATATATAAATAACCCAATCAAGGAGGAACAAAAGCAAGCAAACAGTCAGCTTATATGCAACCAAGTAGATAGCCCTATTTTTACCAAGACTCGGCAAGATTTCAGCCAATTGCCAGCAATTTCACAAGGCACTGCGAGTTTTCAGCTAAGCTTAGCGCAGATACATAGGATAATGCCTACTGAAATCATGTCAAGCAATAAAACGATATATATTTTATAAGCTATAGCCCATACACATTTTTTTTATTTTATAAGAAAGCAATAAGTACATATCACACTATTAAGAGAAAAAAGATTGTGCAACCATGTGTCAAGTATCAGCAAATTAAGTGCGAGTAAAAATCAATGCCATCTAGTCCAGATAATATAATAACCAAACAATAGATATAACTTTTAAATGTAATATAAACTCCTCTTTTACCGGTCAATAGTTTATTATTATTATTTTAACAAGAGATAAGTTTAACATACAAGGTAGATTAAGGATTAAGCTAATGTGAAAAAAGAGAAAAAGAAAAGAGGTATAAGTTAAGAATCGAGATCATACATGAGCATGGAGATACATCAGTCCTGAGACAATATCACGTAAGTACTTCCGAGCAATATTTTCATCTAGACCACATGGTGGATCAGAACCCTCACAAGCCCATTTGCCTTCCACGTATTCAAGAACTAAAGCAAAGAATGACTGCTCAAGTAAAGTTTAAATTCCTTTCAAAGATTCAAGCAAGTCCATAAAGAAAACAAAAGATGCCATGAATACCCATGTAAAAGCGATCATCATCCGGATCGTCTATCACTTCAATAAGATTTACTATGTTTGGATGTTGCAACATTTTCATGATTAAAACCTGTAAAAAAAAAGATAATATATTTTATCCAAAACTCAGCAACGGTAATCCTACGAGTTAAAGAAGATATATACGTCCAACAAAGCTTAGCAAAAATGTTGCAGGAGGGAAATATGTGTGAAAGAGAAAAGGAGCTAAAATATACACTACATGCAAATGAGAGTTTTCTTTTCAAATTTTAATAAGATATGAAAATAAGAGCTGAACATTCAAACCCAATAAAAATTTAAGATATCATTAAAAGGGAAAAAGACCCTCGTTTGATATGAATAACAATCAGACATCGAATGGAAATCTGATGCTGAGGCAACTAATTTAGAATTTCCAGGTTACCTCACGAAGAACATCAGTCATAGCTGTCTCAGAGGGAGCAACTCGCAGCTTTGACAAATGAGACTTGTGAAATGCCTACAAGTATATATAATGCAGGTTTATCAACAAAAACCTCTTGATATCTCAACCTTCTCGCAAACATCAAGGAGACAGAAAAAACAACTAGCAACAGAATAACCCCTCCATCTCCAAATACATAAAGCAACTAAAAGAAATATCGGAAAGAACACCTTAATTGCGTAGTATTTTCCATCAATATAGCTTCGATATAGAACCTGTTTACATAAAAAGATGAGAAAGCTAGTCAATAATATCAATTGATAAGATATGACAAACTGATGTTATCAGAAAATGCTTACCACTTTCCCATAACTACCAGCACCAATCTTATACTCACGAACATATTCATTGACCATCTTGTTTCCGTTCTCATCCTGAATATCAAATCAACAAATGAACATTAACGTGAACAGTTAGTACCAAGAGTAGTAATAAGCCACGAAGTAAAAACATCATACAACCAGTTAGAGGTGACTATACAAGGCTGAGTTCCTCAAAAGGATAGGTTCATAGCTCCATAGAGCTGGGGAGGTATTGTATTTTTTTTAAATCTTTTGATTCAAGGAGCTATGAAAAAAAAAAAAAAAAAAAAGCTTTGTGTTCTATCAATAGGTGTAAGGCATGCAAGTACTCTTCTAGCTCAGTACATTCAAAACCAAGAATCAAAGCCAGGCTTCAGTACAAAATTTAATAACCAGGTACTCGTTTTCAAATGAAAAAAGCTGCTTACTGGACCTTCTACAGTAGTGACAAGAGGCTTGTGATATTATAATAAGCAAAAGGTCATTAACACAGAATGGTTTCCCTCCATCTGCCAGCAGTAGAAGAAACTTGAAGCTATAGTTCAACTTATGTTTTTCCCTCCATTATCAAACATAACCCAACTAAAACCCTGCATAGCGCCAGATCAAAGTCCATTCGACTAAAAATGTAAAAGCAACAAAAGAACATATTTGTGCTAAAAGTCTGTTCAGGAAGGGCAAAAAAAATTTTAGACATATTCTGCAACAATTCCTAGAATAACAATAGACCGACATTCAAGTTAAACAGCCTTAGAAGCTGCATAACGTTCAATTCAAGTTTCCCATAATCGATGGACATATTAATTACTGCGTTCACCTCTGAGCGAACAACTCTGTTTGTCTCTTTGACAGGAAATTGCCGGCAAATCAAACCATTTTGTGTTCTATGCTGCAAAATCTCTTCTGAATTTTTGACACGGCTATGTGATTCGGTTTCTTCTTCATGTGTAGTACTGGCAGTATCATCATGAGACGAGCAGCTTTCTTCATCTTCCACGTCTTCACCCAACAAAAAATCCTCAGAAAGGCGGTTGAAGCCAGAAGCAGGTCTCAGCACCCTTTTAGGCTTTTTGGTAAACCCAAAGCAACCACAACAGCCCATCATTTTGGAAAAAGAGAAACTTTTATTGTACATGAGATTTTAAGAACCTCAACTTTGAAGTAGTTATTGAAACTATCCGCAACCAAACAACCCTATCCTGAATCCAAAAGAACAAAATTATTATTATTGGAACCATGCCCTCGAATTCAATAGATAAAAAGAACGACCTCAGACATGGACAACAAAGAGGACGGATAGTTATCATGCGCTAAAACTAAATTAACTGAAAGCTGTTCAGAATTCTAAAGTACTCATAAGAAAGCCATAGCAATGGAACATTTCAAAAACTTCGGCTAGCACATTATTCCAGCTTTCAGATATGAACTGCACCTGATTTACAACGGGATGAAGGGCAGCAAGCCCAAGTCCAGTATGCTATTCCAACGGATGCCATTCAGCCCGATGAAAGAAACAGCTGGTAGTAGCAAAGGCGTTGCAATTCAGACCTAACATAGTTTATATGGACAACCAGAGTCGGCTTGCATCCAAAACCCTTGCACGTTGACCATTTACATAATTAGAAAACATAGTGACAAAAAGAAACAAAAAATCAACAATAAACAAGCAAAAATCCGCGTCAAACTTACACAGAAAATGAAAACGTCATCAATCACGCCAAAAAAACAAAACAAAAAAACAAAAAATGCAAAGCTACAGCAATAGAATTGTACAAAATTTTCAAAACCCTTACCTAATCAGAGGAGTTGTTGAAAAGAAAAGTGTCCGACGGAAAACCCTAAGCAGGCTGAAGGAAAATCAGAAATTCCAGAGCTAAAGAAGATCCCAGGGGATGGATGAATAAATTCGATCGAAGAGTGATTGTTTATTGAATTTGGGGGGGGGGGGGGGGGT